CCCACACACACCCACACACACACCCACACACACACACACCCACACACACACACACACCCACACACACACACACACACACACGCACGCACAGACACACAAACACACACGCGGCAACTGGGACTGAGTAGTTCTTCTTGTCAGCCGTGCCGCAGGTCAGCAAGGTGGAAGCGCCAAGAGGAACAGCCTTGGCACAACGTGGCAAAGAAACAGGCTAAGCTGGTATTGGCGCGGCTGCAGAAAGAATGCAAGGCAAGCTCGACAAAAGTAGAGCTCGTCATGTTGCAAAATGCCTGCGCGTGGCCGACTGACATCAGAACTGCGACACTCATCTCGCTCATGCTCAACTTGCACACCCAGCCTTCAGGCAAACGCCAGGGAATGTTTACGAACGGCTGCGGTGACACGTTTGATCCGGAGCCACAGCATGAGATCGAAGTCAAGCCTTGCACTTTGGTACATGTCTTGCTAGAACCTCTGTCGCTGCCTATTGAGTCAAGAATTTGTAAGGCCTCCGGCTTCCACCTCCGTGTGCGATGTGCGCAATGCACGTACAGAGTTACATGATGATTGTCGTGACCTTTTCGCACCTGGTGGGTGCACAGTGCTGTTGGTGATGACTACATTGCATGTTTTCTGATCCGAGAGTCTCTGGGATGCGACATTACCTCGGTTGTTGTGGCTGTGGCGAAATACGAACAGTGAAACACGTATTGCAATGGATTGGATAGCATGAAATGGCTTTGTCGACTTGCTTCTTCCACAGGCGTCACACCTGCCGAAATGCTGTCAGGCGTATGGACATGGACTTGCGTTGGTGCCGAGCGAACTCTTTTGGATTACTTGCTCTTCTTGACCTTATCTTTCTTCGGCTTCTCCTTCGGCGGTTCCTGCAGCTGGGGTACAGAGCAAAAAGCAAAGCACGAGCCAGTAGCTCTTCCGACTTCTTCAGCTTCCCACTGGTGTAGGTGGAAGGAACGGAAGAAGGCTCGGGGCTGGAAACGGCCTGTGCAAACGAGTCATCGACGGCTGGCCGTGTTTATCAGAATGTGCTGGCTGCCTCTTCAATGATCCTGTGGCAGGCTTGTGGAGCAAATGAATTTTCACCAACGGGGCCTTAGCACAAATTCCACGGACAACTCAATTGCTTCAGCGCTTGCCCTTTTGAGACGAGCATCTTCCAGAAGCTGAAGCGGTGCTGTAGCGCACTGAAGCGCCAAAGGGGTGACATAGCCCCAGTGTACCTCATGGACCCAGAGAAAGCATATTATACATATACTGTCCAAATGCACTCCGCACACACATTCAATAAACTCACCTCACCCTACCTCACCTCCCTTTGTGAGTGCGGATGTGAACACCAGCCCGAGGCGCGGACATGAACACAAGCGAGGACGATGCAGCCAACGACCTGCCTGCCATAAGAAGGTACAGTATCTGCGAGGATCAACTCTCGCCGTCTGAGGGTCCGTCTGCTGCATCTGCTCAAACCACTTCGACATATCCTGTCTCTGAGAGGGAAAGATGATTCAATAACGCCCATGTCCTGGTTTTGGACGGACTTTCTTCATGTCAATGTGATCAGGAAGTCTAGGAATTCACGACTGCGAAGGTATCGCTTCGCCATCGGTCGCGATGCATCAAGGAACTGCTATCCACCTCTAAACTGTTTGCCTCTAGAAGCATCTTTACTTCGCGCACGTTCGTTAGAAGTCCAGCCTCGTTTCAGCCAGGCTTGAATTGGGAATCCAAACGCCTAGCAATATGACGTAGCCTCCATGAACGACGCAAGCTCTAAAGAGCTAGCTTTCGTGCAAAGAGCTGCTGATAAGGTCTGTGAAAAGCGACAAAAGAGTGCTGCTTTGCATATGCCTACATTCAACGCATCCTTATAGCCAGCAGTACAAACTGACACCCAGCAGCTTATGACGACTATTACTGGCAAGGGATACATGTAAAGTGCACAGTTCTTGGAGGACCAACACCGCCCCGTTTTTAGAACTTAGGCGCCCGCATACTCTCGCACAGATTGCTCCGCGGCTGGCCTCAATGTGAAGCCGGGCCAGCCGGACCGCAGCTTCAGTCTCGAGCCATGGCCTTCGTTAGGGGACCGGCTTTACTTCCACGCCCATCTGCATGACTGCTGGAACCTGGCGACACTCTGCTGTCAGAAAGTGCGGCTCAGTACGGCCACGCGGCCTGGATCTTTGTGCCTTCTGGCATCCCAGCGATCTTGAATCGGATCTCGGCTCTGAAGTGATTTCATCAGTGCTGCACGGTCTTCTGGAGACTCTGCAACATGATGCTGCATCCAAGGCTCCCATACCAAGGCGCTTGCACCTTAAGTCGCACAAAACACAGCCATGCCCATGAAATTCCCCGTGGGACAAGGTCGGGCTGGGAGCTGTGCAGCAGAGCTGAACCACGACAAAGACGATGCGCAGGTGTGTCAAATACCTTTCTGAAAGATCATCTCAAGGTCCTATCGCTAAATGCCACACGACGGGAGGCCCAGGAGTTGTGTGAAGGTCTGGGTACACTGTAGCTCGATACTAAGGCGATGCTTCCATGTCATGTGCTTTTATGCTGCACGTACCGATGTGCAGCATAATTCTGAGAAACCCTCACCAAATTCGGCATTGGGCTCGTATTGTTGCGCAGCTCCATGCTTTCAAAGGGCAATTTGGCTAAGGACACTCGTTTCAGATGCGGGCCTAGAGAGGAAACTCACACAGTTGCTGTAACAACCAAACGTTCAATCAAGAGAATGACGACAGTAAGGAGGATGGTGGGAACCGCGCTGAAGTTTCCCTGTTCCGAGTCAAGAACTTTGGGAAAATTGTGAGTCTTTGTGGCTCTGTCACTGTCGCTTCTTCCAGTCTTCATCACTCTTCGCCTGTCACCCTGTTGCCGTCGCAAAAACGCAACGTGGTAATGCTTGACCCTCCGTGCGCAAGTAAGGGCCCAGCCCAAGTTTCTCGATGTCATACTGCTGCAGCAGGAAAACCTCTAGACCCACAGCTTGCCGCCGGTAAACTAGAACTCCTATTTGGCCAAGATTGTCCAACATTCTTGTCATCTTGGTCTCGCCGACCAGTTTACCTTTTGGACCAAGATTTGCGACCAAGATTGCCAGGCAATCTTGCAATCTTGGCCTCCAAAAGGTAACTAGTCGGCGAGCGAGTGGGGCAAGTGGGGCAAGGGTAGGGGGGCAAGGTTGCAAGCAATCTTGCCATCTTGGTCTCCAAAAGGTAAACTAGTCGGCGAGCAAATGGGGCAGGGGCAAAATGACCAAGATTGCTTGGCAATCTTGATCCCCCCCGCCTGACCAAGATTGCAAGATCGTCAAGATTTTGGACAAAAATGAAAGTTTTAGTTTGCAGGCACATTGCACTATCAAACACTGTGGTGAACTTCGGGACTCTGATATTTGTCTATCTCGAATGCCGCGAACCCAGGAGGCCAACATTGAACATCGGCATCCCGCATCGTTGAAGGAGAACGAGGCAAATCAACACAACAAGCCCAACTAATGAGCCTTGCCCGGCAAAATGAAACGATCAGCACACACAGAAGAGTTCTCTTGATTTAAGGAGTCGTGGAGGACGGACTTGCGCAACCTTCGCGAAGCAAGAGTCATGAAGTTGGGGGCGGGCGGTTACCGAGTACCTCCAGCTGTGCCCTCCGGCCCCAAGGGGCAACAAACTGGGCTTTGGTGTCGGTTGAGGGGCTCAGCAGATGATCTGCCCGCCGACTATCATAGAAGCCCAAGCCAGCATCAATCGCGAACATGATCTCGAGACATGCTTCGCGCGTCTGAGTAGTGACAACATTCCCCCTTTGTGCAGGGCAAGGGACCCACGCAGACAGAACAGACAGACATAAAAACAGACAAACAGACTCACCCCACCCAAGCACTCATGCATGCACGCACGCACGCACGCAAGCACACACACGCAAACACACGCACACGCACACGCAC